GGCGCGGCGCGGCTGTGCGTGCGCTCGCGCGCGGCGGCGGCGGCGGCGGCGCCCACCTTCGCGGCACTGCTGGCGCGCCACGACCAGTCGCTGCCCGTGCGCGTCAACTCACTCATCGCGCTCAGCGATATATGCGCCAGGTACACCTTGCCGCGGTAGATACCATACTATAGTCCCAAAAACTTAAACTATAAGGTGCTCTATAATTATCAGCCACGGCTTTAATGGGAGGTAGTGTTATGTTTACAGATTACAATTGTGAAGAAATTTCGTACCCCGGACCAGTTAAATACATAAAGTAACTTAATTACTTAAAACCCTTGTTAGCCTGCCTATTGAGTATCTAGTAGATTAGATAGTGACGAACTAGTCAGCTGATTTCCGTTTTCATTCTCAGTACACGTGGAAAGAGATAGCAATTGTTTTCATTGACTAAGCGACGCATCGCGCGTAATTTGTGAACCACATTATGCAGAGTGTAGTCAATGTTTATGTAATTTAACTTAATTACTTTATGTAATTAACTGGTCCGGGGTACGAAATTTCTTCACAATTGTAATCTGTAAACATAACACTACCTCCGCTTCAAGCCGTGGCTGATAATTATAGAGCACCTTATATATTCAAATTTATATATTTTACCTCGTAATTCAGGTACACGTGTATAGTAGAGCCACTACTTGGCACTATGTGTGATTGCCTGTCCAAGGAGTCACCAGTGCAGTTACGTCGGCGAGCCGCTCGTGAACTTACTCGCCTTTTATTGGGCGAATATTTACGTCTCCGTACACCTCTGTACTATCGGTGAGTTCGACTTAATTACGTAATATAGGTAAATTGCACAACGACAAACAAACAGACGAACTACCTCATGGTGAGCATCGGTGACGCTCGATGCGTTGCCGATCTTTTAGGGATTGGATATTTGAGTAAGATTAAACCGGTTTCCGGAAACCTTACGCAAACTGTGAGACAACTTCTACAAGTCTGATTGCATAGAAATACAAATCTTATCGTCCTAATACTTTGATGACTCCTGAATATTAGTGCCATATTGTTCGCACATAATTGAACTAAATAAGGAAACCAAAAATTGGATTGTGAAATATATTGCAAAAAGTAACCATGTAGTTTCTTACTCGTTCTTCTCTATAGAAATCTACGCTTTAGAACAAATATTGGCGTATAGACTGACAAATTGGCACTTTCTAACATTTTCATCTTTAAATATTTAGTTTGATGTTATTAACATCAGTGCCTTTTAGTGATGTATAACCAAATACTCATCGGCTTTAAACAACAGTATCGCCTCATCATTATTTTATAATATCCTGAATAAATAGCATGTCGATAGATGGTGCTAATCATTTGCGCTAAGAGTTTCCGGGTCAGTGACTTATTCATATTTTTTATGCTTATGTAAAGATATATTATTCAAACTAGAATATTTTAATGTTCAAACTAGAGGTAGACGTTCAAATGTCAATAATATAAACGCATTTTCAATTAAACATGAAAATATCTTCATATCTAAATCTTTGTCTGAGTTAGTGACCTCTGCAAATATTTACTCTTCTCTATGTCATTATTTGTTTAACTACTTATCAATCTTATCATGCATTATGTATGTAAGCGGATAATATATGCATGTGTAAATTACACTTGAATATAACAAAATTGGTGCAACAGTGATGTCGAAATCAATGTTTTGAAATTTATTCAGGTAATTGTTTTTAGATATTGCGCTTTGTTAGCGGACGCAGATGATGACGTACGTGAACCAGCCGAATACTATGTATCCTGTGGCCTTACTGCCGACACCATTTACCATCACTTTGTTGATTGCCTCCTACATTACAACCACGATGACAAAGGTACAAGTAGACTTGCAATTAATATAGGGTGTTGGAAGGTCGGTGGCAACACCGATCGACCTTCTAAACACCCCTACAGCGAAGCTGGTCATAATATTTTTTACATAAAGCGAGTGACTTACTTTTGAGATTCACGGTGTGTTTCCGGTTTACAACACTATTATTGTTTTACTGTGTTTCTAGGGCACGTTCGTTAGTATTATCAAATGTAAGGTTTTCCTTGTTATCACATTATTGTGTTGTGTACTCTAAGTCTAAACTAGGGCTGTCCATTGTTTTCGTGTGGCCCGCGACACACGTTTTAATTTCAACATCTTCATCTTAAGTGCGACAACAAAAATAATAAAATTCAGTGTACGATTTGTCTATAAGTTTTGTCTGTAAGTAAAAAATATAATATTAAACGTCATTTTACAACTGAAAACATTTTTCTGGCCCTCCAGCTTTTGTAAGAAATTTAATTAGCCCGCGAGGGTATATAGTTTGGACAGCCCTGCCCTAAACAGTTGTGATTGAAACAAAGTAAATTATTTCGCAGATCCTATCAGTTTCGACTCCCGTCAGCTGATCTATGACGTGATGCTGCAGCGTTTGTCCATGGTGCAAAGACTTAACATCCAATGTCGGCTGGCGCGCGATGTATTGGAACATGCCGTGGACCTCATGGACGAAGACGATGAACTGTCTCCCGCAATGAATGCAGCTCTCCTTGATACTACCACACTGCTCTGCGGACCCAGGCTAAAACTGCCCAGTAAATATTTCAGTATTAAAGAAGCTAAATAATGAAAAAATGCCACAGTTTACAATTATTTATTTATTTACAGAAAAGCCACAAAAAGCTAGCAACAACTTAGAGGAGTTACAGGAAAGAGTTACTACTAACATCGTGTCTCGGGTTAGTTTTTAGTGCTTTGTACCTCGCAGTATTTAAAATTAAATACTAAAAATTTATTGAAATATTACAGAAAATGAAGATGGCAGTAGCAGAGGTCTTAGTGCCGGCAGTGATTAAGTTATACTCACGTATGAAACCGCGCGGAGGCCAAGTAACAACATATCTTTTACAACTATCTACTGATCTCGTAAAAGACTATGAATCGGAGGTAAATATTATTATTTTTTACAATTCGGAAAATACATGTTCGTAACTTGTCTAGACGTTATAAATATTTGGGTATCATAAACAGATCGAGGAGGTGTTCGAAGACGGCAGTGAGCTGATGAAGCAAGTGAAGTGGTTCCAAGAGTCCATCGGCATGGAGCCCCGGCTGGGCAACGTGCGCAACCTGGTAACGCGCAGCGCGCCGCCCGAGCCCGACACGCCGCGCTCGTCGCGCCGCCGCGCGCGCCCGCCGCGCACGCCGCACTCGCCGCGCAAACGGGCGCTGCGCGTCTAGTGCTGGGCCTATACTATCCGTTTTATTATACGTCTGGCCAAAGAATTCGTTCCTGTCGCGAATCATATTCGCGAATACAAACGCATTCAAAAGAACACGGAAGTTTTATCGCGAACGAATCTTTGCGTTCAAGTAAAACTATAGCATTTGTGTTTCACCTGCGTCACTACAATACACATAATGTTCATTGTTAAGTTTATGAACTGATTGATGACTATATTAAAACGAAAGTAAAAGATGGCACCATACAATGCACACGCTGCATTTTAACAATTTATCATTAGTTTGGTGAAATCCAGATCGAACCCGTACACACTCAACGTCCAGGCACTGTATAAAGAATGTTTAAGAACCATTCCTTGCTGGCAAAGCAATTTATCAGGTTCCCGTTCGACCAAATTACAACCAAATTTTGACAGCATTGGCATACTATGCTAATGGCTTAAAAGGGCTTTGAAGGGTCTACAGATGCTGCTAAAACCTTTCGATACCTGTCGATTACATTATAGTAAGCATAACAATGAACACCTGGTTGATAACTTAAGAAAGGAGACAAATAAGGCATTTAAAATAAAATATTCTACGAATCAATCAAACATAACTGACCAACCAAATTTAAATATATTGTAAAAAAAAAAACAAAAATTGTGGCGGGCAAGGGTGGGCAGAGTGGACTACCAATAATGTTATTATTATTTTAAGCTAATAAAGGTTGTGTGGAATGCGCATAGACTGCGTAGACGCCGATACGATTGATAGATTTAATATTGTTGATACTACAAAGTCCCTATTTAGAGATACCTAGTATATTTTTGTTATCAAATGATTGAACTAAATAAATTTACTCGTTATGTTTTGTAGGTAAGTATTACTTATTTGTGTTTGTGAAAATCGTCTAGGTAGGTGGACTAGCTGAAAGAGACAAACCGGTGTAGGTATTATATTAATTAGGAGGAGGACAGGCAACAACAATTCTGAGAAGAAAATCTTAAGTCTACGAAAGTGAGATGAAGCAAATATAAGATGTATTATTAAACAATTTGCTTCGTGTTACTTCCAAGGCCTTAAGTCGCTACACACTAGGTTACTGAAAATGGGAGGAAGAACTCTGCTGAATGAAAATACAGGCCCAATCAACATTCGTAGGATAGAATTTTTCAATCCGATGGATTTGGATGTATAGTAGTTTATAAAACTCAAGTGAAGACATTCACAGCCCGTGTTTTCTCAGTTTTCCAACTGTTGACAGGTTTTTCTACGGCAATTTCTTTACACAAGTTTTATGTGAACGACTATTGAGTAAAAAACTCAGTCAGAAATAAACATTTAGAAGGTCGTATTTTGTTCTTCTTTCATCATGATGATAATAACCAATATGTAAATAACAATTAACATAACCTCAGGGACCCTGAGATACTTTTGGAAAAAGATTCTAAAGGTCAATATTTGCAAGTGTGTTGTGCCTATACCACGACTGAGATGAGTGGGGCCCATGTCTATCGCGGCGCATCTACCAAGTGAGATCCCGTCCGTAAAATTCAGTGTAACTGTGATATTTACTTATTGTTGGATATAGAAGACAACGATTTTCTAGAATGAGCTTGCTTACTAGAAGTGCACTGTAGTTGTAAATTAATTAATTAAATCAAATATAATAATAATAATAATTTTATTCAGCTCGCAGTGTTGCTTCTTAGTTTGGTGCGTTTTTGTTTGTTGACGGTAATTAGAAACTACAAATATCTATTAGTAAATCAAATGTAATAATATTTTTTGACATAAATAAAACTAAAGTACTGACTCGGTTATCTTTTATTTGTACCTTTGCCGCAGAGATATAACAACCTCTATTTAACCAAAAAGCTAAAGTAATTCATGACTGTGTAGTCACCCTAAAAGGTGTATGCATGTAAGTCAATCAACCTCTCGTAAACTTCTAAATCATTTGAGATAATCCTTTTTGATTGATATAAATTATCTGTATCTTGATTAATTAAGGAGAAGTTTAAATGTTTTTTTCATATACATGGTTCAGTATTTTTTGAGATAGGTACCTATCATTTCTAGAGGAGTAAATAATATAGTTAGTCGATAGCAAAACAAAACATGATACTTTTATGCCCTATGCAGAGATATAATCAATATTTCAAAGTAATACCTACTTTTCTTCAGTTGCGTTACATATGAGTCACATGAAAACCCTATTGCCGTGCAGAGAAGGCGGTATTAAACTGTGCACTAGTAATTTGGCAACTGTTTGGCAGAGCCTGACTGTACCGTACCGTACCGAACTATATATTTACAGGAAAGTATGTAGCTACAGGAGCTTAAGTTTTATTTTATTTATAAAAACTTATTACTATACATATGCACCCGATAACCCATGAGCAGTTTATAAGTAAAATTGTATAACTAGGTATTATGTATAATTGTTGCAAAATTAAAATTATGTGATTATTAACTAAGAATAAATGATGTTCCATTTGAGTGGTGATTTGGGCAATTCATGCGTGATTGAAAATTATACTTTCATGATTATAATTCATGATTTTAAATACCCTTAATGTTCATAATTACACATTTACGTGAATTTACCACAGGTTTGCGAAGATGAAATTATGTGAAGTTAGCAGCAGCCTAAAATTGGTTTGTTTATTTCAGCCTCGCTCCGGAGCCCCAAAGGCTACCAAAAGGTTCACCTACAGGGCTCGACCACGGGCTCGACTCTATAAATAGATGTATTGTCTACTTTTATCCAGTATCAGACCCCAGTGCTACTTCGACAATTCAAGTTATCTCCTGCCAATCAGCACAGCCACCGGGATCGAGTGACATCGTTATTCATTCACTGTAGATTTAAAGTAGTTTCGTAATTCAAAATAATCAAAGCACAGCTTTTTTGTAGATGCACATGGAAAATAAACTTATTTTTTGTTATATCTAGAACTTCAATGCTGTATGGATGATTGAAATTGAAACACAAACCTAATATAAGTAAAACTAGTAAGCGATATCACAAGAAAATTCCCAATAATGTAATGAGAAATAGTGATAAGTTGTGAAAAATTATAGATAAGTGCATTGATTGGGCATTTCATATACCTATTAAAACTTATGCTAAAATTGTCTTAAAGCTCACCATAAACTCCCTAAATTAAAATGTGGTGTATATATAAATATGTACCTACCTACCCTACGCTATTTTGTACACCACATTGCGCCTGCGCCCATTGGTAAAATTGAAGGTTCATACCTACCTACTATAGCCTTTTATTTCGTTTGCGTAGTGGAGTCGAGTGCGAGCACAATACCATTCGAGAACTGTGCCAATTACAAATGATAACTCACAAAATCAACTATTACTAATGGACAAAAGTTAGATTATATTTACTGGCTGAGTATTGGCTCAATTCAGAAAAAAATTGCTATTCTTTTTTTACAAGGAGTCGCTCCTGATGATTTTTTAATGGCAACGTGTCGTCTAAGTAATCTTATAAAAATATTAAGTATGTGCTCAAGAAGATATTAAATTTTTCTTTCAGCGATCAAAACACTTAGCTACTTCTTTTTCATATCAATGTATTTTCATATCATTATGTTTCGCTAAGCTCAAAATTATTAATCAAATTAATAAGATATTATGTATACAATTGTGATATTTAATCAATGTGATGTTTATCTAAAAATATTCTTGATACCTATTATGGATTTTGATGTATCTGTACTCTTGTAAAGATCAAAATTATTAATTCATTTATTAGATTTTACTTTAAATCATAAATTCTGAATTTATTAACATTATAATGTTCAAGGGTTGTTCGAAGAATTTGGATAAAAAGTTAACGTATATAAGTATGTATGTTCTTAGATCTAGATTTTTTCTAGTCATTCGTAATTAAGTATAATCATAATTAATCACCATCAGTCATTTCATATTTAGGTATTGTAGTAAAGTAGATTGTGAGTATTAAACAATATAATACTAACTACCTATATAATTGTTTTATTTAAATCCTCTAGCTATGCACTAGTTAAATATATTACTTACTTATTTGGTTTCCCAACTTCGCGAATAAATCAAGAGTCTATTTGAAAAAAAAATTATAATTGGTATTTGCTTACAAGAAGTACCTATGATTTTTACAGGAAATAAATAGCAATTGTATTTGTATTGCAATGAAGGCCTTATTGGGTCTGCCCAAGATCACTACAGGTCGACCACATGTATCATGGGGTCGATCTGTAGTCGATGGAATATATATTATGAAATAACCTGAACAAGTTCAGTCACAGCGACTTGCCCCTGCCCATTAATTGAGAATTATGGCTGATGTACTCTTTGCTTATTTTGCAGATAATATACGCTTACTTTCGTAACATACCCTTCCTACAAAATTCACGTGTAAGAAGTTGATGACAAAAGCTTTTGTAGAAAATATAAAACTCAATTAAAAACACGCAATATGAGCATTTATTTTAAATTAATTATGCATGTGTACAAGAATAACAATGTTATTATAAGAATTTTAAACTTAATAAATTATACAACATTGTTCAAATTTAACTTAACTACTAAGTCACCTTCGTTTTCTATTTTAAACTCTTTTCCAAAAGCTTTCTTTAACAACACATCAATAGCTGCTTCTTCTGAAATAAAAATAATACGTTTTTTGAGTCATTAAACATTATTTTTATCAAGACTTTTTTGTCGTTAGACTTTGGTCTGACTTTTTAAAACTTTAATCTTAGAATTGTAATAAAATGTTATCACTCACCTGTTACTTGTATTGCCAGCAATTGATGAACAATATGTCGCGCAGTAGTCTTAAATAGGTCACGACTACTTATTTTTTTCTTCTTATAGTATGGCATAAGCAGTTTAACCACAAGACTGGCAAGATCCACTTTTTCAGCCTTTTTTGTAGTAGTTTGGTTATCTTTAGTCACATCACTTTTGATCTTGTGTTTGCTTTCTTTATGGTGTGATTTCTCGGTTTTGTGTTTTTCTCTTGAGGCCTCGTTCGTCTTTCGTTCAATTTTGTTTTTTTTACTTAACCTAAGTTTGTGTTTAGATTCATACTTTCCCTTACTTTTAGTTGGTGCTGAAGACAATAGCAATTTTTCTTCCAATTGGTCTTTCTCAACATTTGAGTTATTTTCAGGGAGTTCAGGTTCAGGTGGCAGATCTTTGAACTCCAATAGTTTTTGCATTATTGCGTCTGCTTCTAGACTTAGTTTACGAGCTTTATTCAAGTTCATATCTTCACTATCGACTTGAAGCGAACCTCCAGAACTGTTGGATTTGTTTTCTTCAGTAGCCGAGTCATGATTGCTTCTCGTCTCATCATTGTCATCTTTAACATTGCTAAGTATCAAAGTTTCTTCTGCACTTTTGTTGATGTTATAATCAGTGCCATCGTCGATCACTAATTCTTTTTCAGATTCATCATCTGATTGACCAAATAAGGACGTAGGTTCCACAGAAGTCTCATTTGTTCTTAAAACTTGATTGTTTGATTCCTTGACACTGTTTTTCGTAGACTGTTTTTTTATATGATCACTTTTGCCGTGTCTTGTCTTAATTTTTTTAGATGGTTTAGTTTCAGTATCGCTATCGGAAGATTCCCCAAACAATGCTTTAATTTTTCTTTTTGAAGGAGATTTACCTTTGTTCAACTTATGATTGGCTTTAGGTTCATTTTTTACTTTTTCATATTTTTTTGTAATATCTTGTTCGTTCTTTTCATTCTCTTTAACATTTTCTTTACTTGTTTTTGGTATACCTTTTAATGTAATATTAATCACGAATGTATCAGATTCATGATCGGATGAGTTTTTGTCAACATCTACTTGTTCTATTTGGTTACCTATTGTTTGATTTTCATCAGCGTGTACAACTTCATCATGGATTTCTTTTAACTTAAGTGTAGTATCATTATTGTTTATGTTAGATTCATTGATTTCACTGTTTCTTCTGTCTCCATATTCATCAATAACGAGACCCTTCGCATCGTCATCACTTTCATTAGGACTATTGTTAGAAGATGCCTTTGATGATTTAACAAAAAAACTTTTTAGTTTTGTCTGGGTCATGAGGTCCTTTTTAAAAGAGTTTGCTTTTCTTTTTGTGTCTTTATCGGATTTAGATAACAGAGTTTCTTTTTTATTGTCCAGATCTTAAAAAAGAAGAAAATGTGTTGAAACAGTGATACAGTTAAATATTTACTGAAGCCACTTGTGTTAAGCTACTATAGGTAATTTGTTTGAGATACAAAAACTTACCTAATTGTGATGCAGTAATAAAACCGTTCTTGACTCTCTGTTGCTCATATTCTTTAACAAATTCCTTAAGTGTGTTATTTTTTTTCGGCTCAAACTCTTTCAACTGTGGATAGATATTGTCTTTGCATGCTTTTACAGATGATATCTGAAAGTAGTGATTATGGTATTGTTGGAATTGCATGGTGGAAGCTAAAATTAAGGATTTTTAGAATGAATTTCTCACCAACTTGGACATCGCTCGCCTGTACAAACTTATGACTGTGCTACACGAGAATGCTTCGTACTCCAGTTCTATGGCGCACTGCTCGATGTCGTTTTTGGAAAGCAGCTTATCGCAACGATCAATGTCCTTAGTGCTATGAAAATTGTTATTTAAGGCATCGGTAAGTAATACGAGATAGCCATCACGGCTCGCTACTGTTAAACCATTAACCTAAAACAAATATTATTTTACAATTAATAATGCAATGAATTCTTAGATCGGATATTTAATTTAATTACTGTTACTCTAAGTTGAT